CGTCACGCTTCTCAATCTTTCATTTCTTTACTTTAATTCTTCACTCGAGTTTATTTTTATCTTTTAACGGATGTGCAAGTATTTTACGCATAAATGTATAAATTGGTTCTTGAATTTATTCACCAAATGCTCCGCGGTTTCACGTGTTGCAATAATGAAACGCAGTCTACTTTACTTACTCCCTCTCTCTCTGCCTCTACTCCTCTCTCTCTCTCTCTCTCTCTCTCTCTCTCTCTCTCTCTCTTTCTCTTTTAATCTTTCTTTCTCTATCTCATTCTGCACAACGGATCAGTACGAACAATGAATCGTGCAAGAGAATAGCGATAGACTAGCAAAGGAGTAGAATACCAATAAGCCGTTGCCAGCTATCCGGCCCAGGAAGAAAATTTCCATACTCGGCGATGCAAGTAACTATACTTTGCCGTCGCAGACACCGACGCGAGTTTTCATGAATAAACTTTACGGCAAATAAACGGCAACGCGCATCGAAACGCGCTGAGAAATTCAATTTGACAACAAAGGACATCCGACCGAGTTGAACGTCCGTTCGTTAAAAAGGAGATGTATGTGATAAGACATAAAGATGAGGACGGAAGATCGCTTCGCCGATCGCGTGAACGCACATGCAGCTACGCACCTGGCCGTTCATCCACTTCCGTCTCTGAAGAGTCGAGAAAACTTGAGAACAGTCATTGCGCTCACATCCGGCAATGTAGCGACAACGTCTCGAACAGGATCGGATATCGCGATCGAGGAAATTATTATTCGCTACGTGTGTTCTGAATACACCGCTTCGCTAAGCCAGAGCGAGAAACGCGTCTTTCAATAATTCATAATTTTTCAAAAATTCCTTGCCAATTATTTCGATATACTTTCTACCTTTTTACATGCAATCATTTTGATGTACTTTCAAAAATTCCTTGCCAAACTTACGCAACTGTTTTTATATACTTTTTATTCACACTCATTTCAGAAAAAAATAAAGGAGGAATAAATGGATAGATTTTTTTAGTTTAGGAGAATGATATTTATTGGAGTTATAAATTTACTTCATCTAAAACGATCGGTGATTCCAATCTCAATATTAAAAAGTAGATTTTTTTTTATAATGTACGATTGAAATATTTATGAACTTTTAGACATTAAAAATATAAATAAAGGGAGCAGGTTTACATAAATATCTTGCCAATAGAAGTAAGTAAAGAAATAGGATATGAGAAAGCTAAGAAGATTGAATATAGGAGTGCACTTTTTTCCGCTATATTTAAACTTCGTTGAAAAGGCAGACGTGTTCGATTGCGTAAAATATGAGCACTTTGCATTAATGCGAGATTTAAACGCGAATAGGCGTGCACATCCGGTTGTTCGCTGCCATATCTGAAGAACGAGATACGCTTAAAGATGAGCTGTACTAGTTGCAAGCAATCATACCGGCGCCAACCTATTTAATTCGCATCAAGACAAACATTTTTTCTTGTTTCGCCTAAATTGATTAATTAACGTGTTTAAAAATAATTATAAAACCATTTATTATGTTTGGAAATGCTTGCACATTGATTATGAAAACCTATTTTATATGTACGTTTCTGGGAATTTATGAAAACTCATTTTATATGTACGTTTGAAATTATGAAAACCCATTTTAAATGTACGTTTCTGGGAATAATTTAAAATTCGCATAATTCGATCAGTTTTCTAAAAATAAATGGATTTTAAGCGCGCTCTATCAAATTCTATTTCATTTTTTATCAAAGAGAGTACTAAAGAGAGTGAATAATATGTGTGTATTCCACGTAGCTGTACTGCTCTCGTACTTTCCAGTATGATATTAAATTAATATAATTGAAAGAAACTTAAAAAATATAAAAATAATTGTAAAGTTAATCATGAAGAAGCTTATACCCTTAACGATGGTTTTTTTATACGTACTCTCTAAATTTTCTGGAGTGAATCTCACTCCAAAAGATTTAAAATACTGCCACTCGGCCACTTGAGTGAGATTCACTTCAAAATAGTGAAAATTCACTCTAGAAAATTTAGAGAATAGCAACAAGTATGAGATAATCTGATAAAAATTACACGAAAAAATACACGAAAACAAAATAAATATATTATTTTTACCGTGTTCCACCAAATCCTCTCACTTGTTTTAATTATTTAAGGTAATCCGAATTTCCCCTATAAAATTTAACATTCACTTAACGCATCCACGATTGCGACCGCACTGCACACAATACGTTCAACCTGGAAACCACTTTAGCTCCGATGACAGCTAGAATTTCAGACGTACCTAGGCCACTTTTAGGAGGAAACGAGGACCACTTTCGGAGCAGCCGAGGAACCGATCGCCGTGACCTGTCACCGGCTTATCGATTCAAGAGAACACGCGTTCGGGCACATATATCCCCCGTGTAACTGACGGATTATTCGGCAAGGGGAACGCGAGCGGTCGCGCGCGGCTTCGCGACCCGGTCGGCCGGAGAACACCTCGCGAGAGCTCGGCTCGTCGCGATCTCGCCGATCGGCGACGGGGGCCCG